TCTTATGGTCAGGTGCGTCTTAGGGTCCGAAAAATACGGTAATTTGTACTAGGATTTCTTCCCAAAAGGTAAAATTTTGGGACAGGTTACCCAACAATGCAGGTAAGTGCCTTTGTTCCCACAATTTTTCCAGCACTTTGGATCATATGATTGTGTCATGTATGCCAGTTTATTAGGAGTGAGATACCAATGGGCAAGTATTTTAAATGATTGCAGTTTCATTGATGTAATTTTGGTTTTAAAAGGTGGTGAGTTTGTGTCATGTATGCCAGTTTATTAGGAGTGAGATACCAATGGGCAAGTATTTTAAATGATTGCAGTTTCATTGATGTAATTTTGGTTTTAAAAGGTGGTGAGTTCCAAATACTATGCCAAGAATCGCTTGATAGCTGAATGTTGCAATCTCTGTGCCAGGATGATTGATAGGAAGGAGGGACTTTGTGTTCAAGAGTAGCTAGTGTTTTATATATATTTTGAGATTACTGATATTTTGATAACTGGTCACGTTTGAGTTGCTTATAGAGATTTGTTATTTGGAAGTATTGGAACCACGGTATTCTGTGTTTAATTATAGCTTCTAGATTTGTTTTTGGTATCAGGGAATTCCTAAATGTAAGATCATGGAGATTAGTGATTCCTGATGCTTTCTATGCATTGTAGCTGGGGGTTTTGAGACCAGGGAGGAACCAGGTTTGATTCAAAAATGTTTGGTATCTGGAAGTAGATGGCACCAGTTTTGGTTTAAAACAGTCCCTGACATTCAGTGCAGCTGAGAGTATTGGGTTATTATTTAGGGTTTTTTTTGCCTGTCTGGTTTAGCTTGCCAGATACATTCTTGTATGCTGTATGGGTTGGTATAGTAATCTGCCAGTGTTACTGAGTCAGAATTTGGGTCAGCTTGCAACCATTTGACTATATGGGCCATGTTGATAGCATTGTAATACTGCTGAATGTTAGGAAAATTAATACCTCCTTTGTCTGATGTCCTATATAGAGTATGACTTTTGATCCTGTGATGTTTGAACGCCCAGAAAAAGTTTAAGAGCAACATTTGCCATTTATTGATCTGTGATGAGGATATCTGGAGAGGAACCGTCCTAAAGAGAAAAGGAAATCTGGGTAAAATGAAAGATCTGATTACGTTTACTCTGTCTGTCCAGAGGCCAAATTCATTTTATGCCAGTTCTCCAGATCTTTTTGTATGTCTATTTCCCTTAGAAGGTGATTTGCTTTAAAAAGATCCGTGTATTGTTTTGGTATATTAATGCCTAAGTATTGTAGATGTTTTCCCACCCATGAGAACAAGAAGGAATCTTTGATATCAGCTATCTGCTTTGTATCCAGACCAATAGGTAAGATCTGTGACTTGGTTGAGTTGAGTTTCAGACCAGATATAAGGCTGAAGTTCGCTAGAGTTTTTGAAGCTGCTTAAAGCGATTTTAAAGGATTGGGTAAGAAGAGCAGCATGTCGGCAGCGAATAGGGAGACTTTAAATTCTATACCTGTAATGTTGGTGTCTTTTCTCAGGAGATCAGCTAATGGTTCTATACTCAAAGCAAAGAGGAGGGGAGACAGCGGACACCCTTGTCTTGTGCCCCTTTTTAAATTGATTCTGAGATTTGTCTATTAATTTTTAGATGTGCAGTGGGTTTATTATAAATTGCTTTGATTGCATTTAAAAATTTGTCTCCAACCCCATTTTTTGGAGCAGAGTTTTTGTAGATATAATACTTCAATGGAATCAAAGGCTTTCCCCAAGTTTAGGGATAAAAAAGCAGTCGGTATTTTTTTAGACGCCCAATGGTGTAGAATTCTGAGTGTTTTGTGGGTATTTTCCGTGATGTCATGGTTACGCATGAATCCAACTTGATCTTGATCAATGTATGATGTTATAAATGTCTTAAGTCTGGAAGCTAAGATTGTGGTGAAAATTTTGAAATCCATGTTCAGTAACGAGATAGGGCGGTACGAAGACAGTTACGCTGGGTCTTTTCCTGATTTAGGAATTACAATTATAGATGCCTCGTTCCAAGAGTTACATGTGTTTGCTAAGGGAGTAGCCAATAATGTTGCAAATTGCTTATAAAAATCCGGCGTGTAGCCGTCTGGACCTGGAGCTTTTGCAGCTTTTAGTCTTTCGATGGCTTGTCAAACCTCAAGAGGTGTAATGGGAGCTTCCATTTTGTGATGATGTATTTCATTCAGTGTGTTAATGATAGGGTTACTTTAAAAGAATTTATCAGTGATAGTAGGATCTTCAATGGTTGTGCTATATAGTTGTTTATAAAAGTTCCTAAAAACATTAGATATTGATTTGGAATCATGATGTAGATTGCCTTTGGAGTCCTTTATCGCTGTGATAACCTTTGATTGTTGTTGGTGTTTTAGATGTTTACTTAGGAATTTTAGCGATTTCGGGGTAAAGGCCAATCCTCTTTGATTTTACAAATTTTTTTTTTGAATTTGGTTCATCTCCAAAATCTCCAGCTTTTTACGCTCCTTTAAGAGTTTTGTGTAGGTATTGCTATTGCCATGTTGTTTATGTTTGCTTTCCAACAGTTTGTTTTCCTGCAATTCTAACCGAGCTTTCTGTTTTTGTTTTTTCAGATGGGAGGAGGTAGAAATTAAATGCCCTCTGATGACTGGTTTCATTGCATCCCAAATTATGTTTGGGGAGGTTTCTTCACCAGAATTTTCTGCAAAAAAGTTTTTAATTTGTTGCTCCGTTTCTGACACTACTGTTTCATTCAACAATAAAGAACTATTTAACGTCCATATTGGTCTTATGTTTTGTTCACAATTGATGTTTATGGTACAATCTACCCAACAATGGTCTGACCATAGTTGTGTGCCAATGTCTGCTGAGTATGATTGATTTACAAGTGATTAATTAATTAAAATGTAGTCAATACGTGAATATGAACCATGCCTGGTAGAATAAAACATGTAATCTCTTTCTGTTGGGTGGAGATGTCTCCACATATCAATTAAATTGTGTGAGATTAAAATGTCTGCTAGTTTCGTATTTGTGATTTTCTTACCCATCATGTTGTGCTGGAATGTGGATCTGTCTTTAGATTGATCCATAATGATATTAAGATCCCCCCCCCAATAATTAGTTCACCAACTTTAAAGTCGTCTAAAATTTGAAGGGTTTGTTCCAAGAACTCTAATTGTCCTGAGTTTGGGGCGTACATAGATACCAGTGTTACTGGCGCATTGTTTAGATTACCTTGGATAAAATTATATCTCCCATTAGGATCAGCTAAAAAAATTTGGTGTACAAAATGCACATTTTTGTCTATTTTTATAGCTGTACCATGAGATTTGGAAGAACCTCCCACCATGAATTGGAACTGAATTTTTTTTGTTTTGAACAGAGGGGTTTTGTCGTCTCTGATATGGGTCTCCTGTAAAAATAAAATGTCCGGATTAAGCTTAGTCACTTGACTCTGAATTCACTTATGCTTAATGACGTTGTTCAGGCCTCTCACGTTGTACGAGATTGCTTTGATCGTGGATGGCATGATCCTTCCTTACTCCTTCTGGCTGTTATGAAAAGAAGTTTGTTAAAAATGTTATTATTTGCGTATTATTGTAGTGCAAGACAAGGTGTTGATTATTAAACACTATAAACAGAATTTAACTTGAAGATACAACACAGTAGCTTGTAGAATATAAAAACAAAATTATAAATCAGATTGCTTTCTAATACAGTTAAGAAGATGGTTCAACTATCTCAAAAATTTACTGCTAAGGCACTTTTGATTACACAATTCGAGTACCACTTATAATAGTGCTTTAAAGAGAAATATTGTTTTGGATAATTCTTTAGAATTTTATAGATGTTTGCTATAAAATCTTGTTACAGCTCACAGGAGAACTGTTTTATGGTGTTCTTATTAAAAAGGATTAAAAAGCTTAATGGTAGTTATCTATTTGTGTATTTTATCTCGTTTCACTAATGTATTACCCTTCTTTTGGAGATTAGAACTTAGGCAGTAAAACTTTTGATTTTAAAATGATTACTCTGAAGATGAATTATTTTACACTGCCCAAATTACTGATTTCACTCACTGACCAAATTAATTACCTTTAAACACCTTTAAAAACAATCAATTATACAACCTTATAATTAGCTTTAAAATGAATTTAGTATTTTAAAAAACCTGTACAGTGTGAACACAATATAACAAATAACTAGACTCTTATTCTTCTGCACAAGATGTTTCTGCAGAAGGCTGGGTTTTTTGTTTTACACCAGTTCCCAGCAGTTTATATTGAGAGTCCTTATTTTATTAACTGGGTTGGCTGAGCCCGCGTTTTCAATCCCCCTCCCCCCCTTTAATGTTCACATTGATCATTTATACTTATACTCTTTGTTAAATAAATGAGACTTGTTAATACAGTAGATTTGTGCTTCGCTCCAATATATAGCAACCCGTTTCACCATTAGGATCATACTTAATAAATTTACACTCTATGTAAGACAATAATAAAGTATAGCAGGCATGTATCAACTGTTCTGGAAAAAAATGGCGCCTGGATGTATTGGTCTATGTTCTTTTCAAAATGGCGGAGGCAGTTAACGACGTGTCATGATACTTAGTGGTTTTCATCAGAAAGTCTCGATTTCTTCCTCTTCTGTGGGATGCTTTTGAGCTTTTCAACATGGTTAAAGCTCTTTCCACACTCTGAGTATTTATAACATTTCTTCCAGAGTAGCGTAAGGTTTCAGTGTAGTAGCAAGCTTCTTACAGTATTGTATTTCAGTACTTTATATGATCTCTTATTGTCTTTTAGGTGTGAAATAGGATAAAAGCTCTCTTCACGACTAAGCAGTTACATCGTTTCTCCTTGTGTGGATTCCTCAATGCAGTAGAAAAGTGTCACTCTGAGTGAATCCCTTTGCACGTTTTGAGCATTCAAAAGATTTCTCCTCTGTATGGCTTCTTCAATGCAGTTGAAGACTTCCACTGGTACTAAATTTCTTTTCACACTCAAGGTTTCTCCTCTGTGTGGGTTCTTTGATGCCGTTGAAGACTGCCACTCAAACTGAATCTCTTTCCGCACTCTGAGCATTCAAAAGGTTTCTCCCCTGTGTGGGTTCTCTGATGCCGTTGAAGACTGCCACTCAAACTGAATCTCTTTCCGCACTCTGAGCATTCAAAAGGTTTCTCCCCTGTGTGGGTTCTCTGATGCCGTTGAAGACTGCCACTCAAACTGAATCTCTTTCCGCACTCTGAGCATTCAAAAGGTTTCTCCCCTGTGTGGGTTCTCTGATGCTGTTGAAGCTGGTCACTCCGACTACATCTCTTCCCACACTCTGAGCATTCAAAAGGTTTCTCCCCTGTGTGGGTTCTCTGATGCAGTTGAAGACTGCTACGGTGACTGAATCTCTTGGCACACTCGGAACATTCAAAAGGTTTCTCCCTTGTATGGGTTCTCTGATGCTGTTGAAGAGTGCTACTCAATCTGAATCTCTTTCCGCACTGTGAGCATTCAAAAGGTTTCTCCCCTGTGTGGGTTCTCTGATGCTGTTGAAGTTGGGTACTCCGACTGAATCTCCTTCCGCACTCTGAGCATTCAAAAGGTTTCTCTCCTGTGTGGGTTCTAAAATGCATCTGAAGTTGGCAACTCTGATTGAATCTCTTTCCGCACTCTGAGCATTCAAAAGGTTTCTCCCCTGTGTGGGTTCTCTGATGCAGTTGAAGACTATCACTCCGACTGAATCTTCTTCCACACTCTGAGCATTCAAAAGGTTTCTCCCCTGTGTGAGTTCTGTGATGCAGTTCAAGTTTGTAGTTGTGACTGAATCTCTTTCCACACTCTGAGCATTCAAATGGTTTCTCCCCTGTGTGGGTTCTCTGATGCAGTTGAAGACTGCTACTGTGACTGAATCTCTTTCCACACTCTGAGCATTCAAAAGGTTTCTCCCCTGTGTGGGTTCTTTGGTGCTCCTTAAGATGGCCACTCTGACTGAATCTCCGCCCGCACTCTGAGCAGTGAAAAGGTTTCTCCCCTGTGTGGGTTCTCTGATGCAGTTGAAGACTACCACTCCTACTGAATCTCTTTCCACACTCTGAGCATTCAAAACGTTTCTCACCTGTGTGGGTTCTATGATGCAGTTGAAGACTGCTACTCAAACTGAATCTCTTTTCGCCCTCTGAGCATTCAAAAGGTTTCTCCCCTGTGTGGGTTCTCTGATGCCGTTGAAGACTGCCACTCCTACTGAATCTCTTTCCACACTCTGAGCATTCAAAAGGTTTCTTCCCCATGTGCATTCTTCGATGTGGTTGAAGACTGCCACGCTGCCTGAATCTCTTTCTGCATGCTGAACATTTGTAAGGTTTCTTCTCTGTGGGGATAGTCAGATGCTTTCGAAGATTCCCATTCACACTGCATCTCTTTCCACACTCTGAACATTCAGAAGGTTTCTTGGCTCTCTTTATTCTTTGGTGTATGAAGAGCTGTGATCTGTTTCTCCAGTACTTTTTACACCGAATAGATTTACTTGCCTTCATTATCCTGTGCTTTGTAATATCTAAAGTATGTCGTCTTCCATCACTTTTCTCAACCACATGACCAACTGTCTTTCTCATCGGTCCACCTTGATTCCTGACATTTTCTTTCAAGTTTACATTTTTAACTTCATCTGGCATTTGCTGATGAAGTTCCTCACCCACTTCATGCCTCTGATTATCCTCTGCTGGAAAAAAGACAGAGATTCTGTTAGCACCTGGGAGGCTCCCTCCACCTTTTCCCAGAATATCCAGTATTTAAGGATACCTCACCCCCTCAAGTGCCACAGCTGAGCTCTTGCCCACAAGGAGCTTCTGAGCCTCCAGATTTTCAGGGCCTCCTTCCCCAGCAGGCTGTATGATTGTACGAAGCATTGCTCAAAAGTGAATCAGAAATACCCCCATGGTACTTCCTTGCCTTTTCCCTTGACACAACTGTGAAGGATACTCACTCTCAACCTGCTCATTTGGGAAGGAAACATGTTCTTGGGATTCTCTCGAGGAAAGTGTCAGCATTTCTTTAGATGCAAGGCCGTTGTCTATCTCCACCGTAGTCTCTCTTATACTCCTGCCTTCGTCCACAGAGGAAAAGAGAGAAAGAGAGAGAAAGTGATCATTCTTATACGGGAAGGAAAGAAATTCAAGAGTAAATGTTCTTCTGGAAGGATGAAGCCATCATCAAAATCAAAGCCCAAAATCCCAACCAGTATAAGGGGAATAGATCTGTGTGACAAAAAGGGGTGTGCATTTCGGTTTATCAAGCCGGAAAAACCCCCAAAAAGTCTTTTCGGTTTTTTTCAGCTTTTCAGATGCTGAAAAGGCTCCCATGAGCATTCTCGAATATCCAACAACCCCCCCAGGAAAATTCGTTTTTTTCCGGCATTTTTTCAGCATTGCTGGAAAGCGGCCATGGGGGCTTTAAATGTTAAAGGGCGCCCGGAAACCCTGTTTTCCCGCCCTTTCCCTCTCTTTCCCGCTTCTTGCTCCTGTTTGCAAGAGGGAGGGGGAAAGAGGGACCTCAAACAGTCAAGAGCCAATCACTGCAATGCATTTCAGAAATGCATTGCAGCTTGCAAATTTCTTCAAGGCTGTTGTGTGCTGCTCAGTGTCAGCTAGCTGCCATAGTATCTGATGTTACCTGCTTAACACCTATGTTGCCCTTTCCCCCCCTCCTCCTCTAGGTAGTGGTTATATGATGTATTTTGCTGTTGCTTTGTCTTTTGCGGAACTGGCCAAGGTCGTGCAGCTGGTGGTGGGAGTCGAAGCTTCGCTCTGCTTGTTATGGGTATCTACCCTGTGAACTGAACCTGTGTTGATGTTAGTGAACTGTTACGTTCCCATGAAGTGGGCCCGCGTTTCCAAGCCCATTCCCGCCAGCGGGAACTGGGCTCATTGGCTCGAACCTGGTTCAATTTCCTTTATTATGTTTTACATGTGTATTGGTAGTTATTCCTAACAATGTCCTTGTTTCTGCTTGAACCATCACTTTGCAATAAACCTTGCTTTGAATCAAACGTGGAGTTTTTCGAATGCCTGGGGAGCCAACATTTTGTTAGGAATCTTCTTTTCTCTATTATCCCAATTCGGACGCCTGTCATGAGTGGGAAAGAGGAGAAACCTGCAACCATGGAGGGAACTCCGGTTACCTCCACTCCTTTGGTCACGACCGCCACCGAAACGCCGGTGACTACCTTGGGACTAATAGGAGCCGTAGGGGGAGCGATCCCGCGAGGGGGACACCTTCCCTGGCCGCCGCCTACTCCCTCGAAGTGGGGACTAGGAGATGCAGAGCAGTGGGACGACTGGTCTCTGTACAACTCGAAAGGGACTAAGGAGACCTTTTCTAACAGGGGCAGTGCCCTCCGGGAGAGCCTGTTTGACCGGGGAATGTACCCAGGAAATGTTGCCGGGCGCCCGGAAAGAACATCTCGGGGGGAAGCCGAGAGGGAAATTCGGAGGGGAGAAAGAGACTCGGCTAGAGGCAGCTTTGACCCCCTGGACGACCGAATTGACGACCTAGAGATGTCGGTGCAACAACTCATGCGAACGGTGGCTGACGTTTTTGATGCACTACCGCAAATGATGGATCTGCGCATTGCCAACTTGATCGCAACTCATGGATTACAAGCGCAGGCCCCGATCCCACAGCAGCTGCCCCAACCGCCTCCCCAGCAGGTACCTCCAGGTCAGCCGGCACCTATCCCAGGCCAAGCACCGCCACCCGGTCTGCCGGCCCCGTTGATCCCTGCTCCACTGGGACCTCCGGCAGCACCAGCTCTTCCCCCTCCGGGAGGACCTGGGGCACCAGGAATCCCGCAAGCGGGACCGAGGGCGAGACCGAAGGATCTGCTGGATGCCACGTTTGATGGGAACCCAGAAGAGCTTGCTTTCTTCACGGTGAGGGTCCAAAAGTTCGTGACCCAACACAGACACCTATTCCTTGACGACAGCGGTCGAATAGACGTGATTGTCTCCAGGCTGAAAGGAGCTGCTGCGACCTGGTATGTTGGACTGCATACTAACCGGGGCCCGGAACTGTTTAATTTAAGGGCTTTCATGTGGGCGCTGAGGACCCGGTTCGAGGACGTCAATGCCGAAAACCGGGCTAAAGCGTTCCTACGCACGTTTAAGCAAGGTCGACGTTCGGTGAGAGACTACACTGCAGAGTTCCACAACCATGCCGCGAAGTTACGCGATTGGCCTGACAAAATCTTGGTAGAAATGTACAGAGTGGGTCTGAATGCAGAGATCAGAGAAACTGTGTTACGCTCAGTAGACCCGAATTCGTTGATGGCATGGGCTCAAGAAGCAGAGAATGCGGAGAGCCGCCTTCAAACCATCCGGCTGGACTTAGCAGCCAGTGGAGGGAGAGGGACCCCACACCCTACCCCGAAGTCGAAACCGGCCCGCTTGTCGGACGCAGCCAGAGATCTGAGGATAAAGATGGGTCTGTGCCTGAAATGCGGGGAAAAGGGCCATTTCGCGGCGGACTGCAGAGCCGGGCAAGGAAAAGACAAGTCAACGCCACCGACGCTGAAAGGGAAAGCAACCGCCCAACCGAAAAGAGGGAGCGCCAAACCCAAGTTCTCCACGGCTTTGCAAGCCGCAACTGAGGAACCCCAAGATGACTCCAACGACTCAGACCCTGAACCGGCGGAAAACGAGAACGTCCTGCTGTGAAGGGCGCACAACAGCAGGACCTCTTACATCAGGAGGCGCCTATAGTGGTGAGAGAACCCCCCTCTTTATTTTTTGTCACGGTCTCGCTAATGAACCCTATCCTGGGAACGCATGTGCGAGTGAAAGCACTGATTGATTCTGGGTGTGGGAGAGACTTGATTAGCCCCACGGTGGTGGCTAATTTAGAAGCGGGCATAAAGAAACTCAAGTCCCCCATTATTTTTACCCAGTCATGAGACCATGCCACTGAGGATGGGGGCAGGTGACCATTGGGAAGAAAGAACTTTTGTAGTTACTCCCAAATCGCAGTTTGCCCTGGTACTCGGTGCCCCTTGGTTGTACTCTCATGAACCTTATGTACTTTGGGAGGAGGGCAGAATTGACTTTGTCTCCACTAAATGCAAGGAGCATCGTTGGGAGGAAACATGGGGGGCCCCGCCGGCGCTTGATTTCCCTTGTGCTGCCCTAACGGCAGAGGAACTGGCGTCCCTTCCCTTGGAGTATCATGACTTGGCACAGGTATTTGGCGAAGAGGAGGCGGACGAACTGCCCCCCCCCCGCAAATCCGATTGCGGCATTGAACTGTTGCCGGGCTGCAAACTCCCAAAAGGGAAGATCTACGCTATGGGGCCCACAGAAAAATTGGAACTACGTAAGTTCATTGACAAGAATCTTGCCCGTGGATTTATCCGCCCTGCCTCCTCTCCTTTCGCCACCCCTGTGCTCTTCAGAAAGAAAAAGGATGGAGGGCTCCGTTTGTGCACGGATTATAGAGGTTTAAACGCAATTTCCACTACCAACGCGTACCCCCTCACTCTAATTAAAGACTTGGTCGCGGAAGCCACCAAAGGGAAGATTTCCTCCAAACTGGATTTGCGTGATGCGTACTTCCGGGTGCGGATCCGGGAGGGAGATGAGGGGAAGACGGCATTCAATACCCCGCTGGGGCAATTCGAATATCTAGTAATGCCGTTCGGCCTTCAAGGGGCTCCTGGGGTCTTCATGAATTTAATTAATGAAGTCTTACATAAATATTTGTTTAAGGGCGTGCTTATTTATTTAGACGACATTTTACTGTACTCGCAGGACCTCCCCTCCCACGTCAAACTGGTCCGAGATGTCCTCAAAACGTTGCATAAGCACAAACTGTTTGCCAGACTTTCCAAATGTGAATTTCACCAATCCCGCATTGATTGTGTGGGGCCCCGAATATCCGGGGGGGGGGGGGGTTGGAAATGGACCCTGGGAAGATTAAGGACATGGTGGATTGGAAACCCCCTAAAACCAGGCGGCAACTCCAAGCGTTCTTAGGATTCGCTAATTTTTATCGATTTTTTGTTAAGGGGTTCGCCCAAATAACCCTGCCCCTCACTGACTTGTTAAAAACAAAAGGGAGAGGTTTTGACGCTACGAAACCGGGGGCTCCACTGAAATGGACGCTGGAATGTGCTGCGGCGTTTAACAAATTAAAAAGTATGTTCACCTCTGAACCGATTTTGGCCCACCCCAATGAATCAAAAAAATTCATTGTGCAAACGGATGCGTCAGATGTAGCCATGGGAGCAGCTATCCTCCAGGAGGGGGTGGATGGGCGATTACATCCACTTACTTTTGTTTCCAAAAAATTTTCCGATGCTGAACGTCACTGGAGTGTGTGGGAGAAAGAAGCTTCGGCAATTCGCCTTGCCCTTTCTACATGGCGCCATTGGCTGGAGGGGGCTAGGGTTCCTTTCGAGATCTGGACTGATCATAAAAACCTTGAGACCCTAAAATCCTCCCGTTCTCTCAACGCCAAACAACTGAGGTGGGCGGACTTTTTCTCCAAGTTCCAATTCACTTTGCATCATTTCCCCGGGTCTTCTAACTCGCTGGCTGACGACCTGTCCCGCCTCCCACAACACGAAAGCTTACAGGAAGTCGTCATTGACTCAATCTTCACCCCCGCCCAGTTGGGAGGGGCAGTCGTAACGAGAGCGCAAGCACGCAAACTTCCCACGCCTGCCTCGTCTCCTGTTCCTCCTCCTCCACCCCTTCCCTCAGCGGAGTGGGGGGGGCGATACCGTGCTGAATTCTCTAAGGAGGATGAGGACGTCCTTTCCACACTGCCTGGTTGTGTCCGCAGCCCTGAGGGGTTGGTCTATTCTGACAACAAACTGTATGTGCCTATTTCTCTCCGCAGGGAAGTGCTGCAGCTCGCTCACGGATCTAAGCTCGCAGGACATTGGGGTTTCGTAAAATCCCTCCAGCTGCTGCGGCGGCAGTTTTGGTGGCCTCACATGCGCAAAGATCTCTTAGACTTTGTTCGCACCTGTCAAACCTGCACATTGTCTAAGCCTGGGGGGGTAAGTCCCCTGGCCTGCTGCAACCACTCCCTACTCCTTCCAGACCTTGGGAAGTCATCTCTATGGATTTTATTACTGACCTTCCCCCCAGTAGAGGGAAAACTGTGATTTGGGTCGTGGTTGACTTGCTGTCAAAACAAAGCCATTTTATTCCCCTTCCATCCCTCCCAACGGCTCAGAAACTGGCGAAATTGTTTCTCCACCACGTGTTGCGCCTCCACCTTTTGCCAGCTAAGGTGATATCAGACCGTGGTACGCAATTTGTTTCTAAGTTTTGGAGGGAATTGATGAAAATTATGGGGGTGGAGCAAG